TGAAAGAACTGAAGAAAAAATTCAAGCCTCGAGTTGCAATATTGAAGGATTCTATGGGCAAAATATTGAACAACGCAGGAAGCATCAAAGGAAGATGGAAGGAATACACAAAGTCACTGTACCAAAAAGAACTGGTCGATGTTCAATCATTTCAGGAGATAGTATATGATCAGGAACCGATGGTACTGAAGGAAGAAGTCTAAGCTGCACTGAAGGCATTGGTGAAAAACAAGGTTCCAGGAATTGACAGAATACCAACTAAGATGTTTCAACTAATAGATGCAACGCAGGAAGTACTCACTCTCCTATGCCAAGAAATCTGGAAGACAGCTACCTGGCCAACTGACTGGAAGAGACCCATATATGTGCCTAGTCCAAAGAAAGGTGATCCAGGAATGTGGAAATTATTGAACAATATCATTAATATCACATGCAAGTAAAATTCAAAAGTGGTTGCAGCAGTACATTGACAGGGAACTGCCAAAAATTCAGGCCAGATTCAGAAGAGGACATGGAACCAGGGATATCATTGCTGATGTTAGATGGGTCTTAGTTGAAAGCAGAGAATACCAGAAAGATGTTTACCTGTTGTTTATTGACTATGCAAAGGCATTTGACTGTGTGGATCATAACCAATTATGGATAGTATTGCAAAGAATGGGAATTCCAGAACACTTAGTTGTGCTCATGAGGAACCTGTACATAGATCAAGAGGCAGTCGTTCAAACAGAACAAGGAAATACTGTGTGTTTAAAATCAGGAAAGGTGTGAGTCAGGGTTGTATCCTTCTACCATACTTATTCAGTCTGTATGCTTAGGAAACAATCTGAAAAACTGGACTATATGAAGAAGAACGGGAGTAAGGATTGGAGGGAGACTCATTAACAACCTGCAGTATGCAGATAACACAACCTTGCTTGCTGAAAGTGAAGAGAACTTTAAGCACTTACTGGTGAAGATCAAAGACTATAGCCTTCAGTATGGATTGCACCTTAACATACAGAGGCCGAAAATCCTCACAACTGGACCAATAAGCAACATCATGATAAATGGAGAAAGTATTGAAGTTGTCAAGGACTTCATTTTACTTGGATCCACAATCAATGCCTATGGAAGCAGCAGTCAAAGAGAAATTAAAGGACCCATTGCATTGGGCAAATCTGCTGCAAAAGACCTCTTCAATGTATTAAAAAGCAAAGATGTCACCTTGAAGACTAAGGTGCACCTGACCCAAGCCATGGTATTTTCAATCACCTCATATACGTGTGAAAGCTGGACAGTGAATAAGGAAGACCAAAGAAGAATTGATGCCTTTGAATTATGATGTTGGCAAAGAACACTGAATATACCGAGGACTGCCAGAAGAACGAACAGATCTGTCTTGGAAGAAGTACACCCAGAATGTTCCTTAGAAGCGAGGATGGTGAGACTTCATCTCACATAGTTTGCACATGTTCTCAGCAGGGACCAATCCCTGGAGAAGAACATCATGCTTGGTAAAGTTCAGAGGGTCAGAAGAAAGAGGAAGACCCTCAATGAGAGGGATTGACACTGGCTGCAACAATGGCTCAAATATAGCGAAAGATTGTGAGGGTGGTGCAGGCACTGTTTGTGTTGTACGTAGGGTCGCTAGGAGTCGGAACCAACTCAACAGCACCTAACAACAGCAACATGTCTTTTCAGCAAAGTAATCTCTTCGTAAGTAATTTAGTAGAAGTAACTTAATAAAAGAGTCGTATCTCTAAATAAAGACAATACCTTCCATTTGAAACTCCCGGAAAATAAGATAAAGTTGCCTTGGTCAGAAAAAGAATCCCTCTGAACTTTCTAGCAAACCCTTTAATGAAGCGCTTTCAGCATAAACAATTAAATTCCACAACTGACACCTAAGAGAACAGAAAGAAGTCTGAAATGACACCCTGAAAGTTCCACTGATCTGATAGGATCTCTTGTCTTTAGTACCTTTTGGCCAAAGTAGAGAAGCATCCAGAAAGTTATACCCTAGAGCTTGAGCAAACAGAGAATGACAGCATACATTCATTCTAGTAAAATGGGGAATTTTTTTCACTCCCTAATACCTAAAATATAACTACTTCACTAATACAGGAGTTTCAGGAATGCAGAAAACTATATACCTACCCCAGACTGTAGACAAAACTTTGTACATTTGTATATGTGTATTTTTCTAGGGAGAGGGCCCATCACTTTGACTAAATTCTAAGTGGAGGCTATGATTAGCAAACAAACAAAAACGCTGCCCTAGAGCCAATTGCCTACCTTCTCTTACATTTCCAGGGAATGACTTCTTTGATTTTGAGGCTAAGGGTTGGTGCCTGTTGGCCTCAGGTGTACTGTTCTCAAAATGGTCTTTGTTCAGAGTAGAGTGGCCTATGTGTTTTGAAGGTAGCATGCAGCCTTCTGAATTCTAGGGGAAAACCTTTTCCATAGCATATCAGACAAGCCAATTCTTGCCTGTATGTTTATTCACCATAAAACTGGCAAAGTAATATCACAAATGGGGTTTTAAAAGTTGATTTTTAAAATTGTGTTGAAGGTAAAGGTTTGGCCTGGATTCGCTTTGTACTTTTGATTTACTCTTTTCTGGGCCTTGCTTTTTTTTTTTTTTTCAGGAATGGCTATTGTAATAGTTTATTAAAACAAAACAAAAAACAGTTGCCATTGAGTCAGCTCTGACTCACAGTGACTCCATGTGTGTCAGAGTAGAACTGTGCTCCATAGGATTTTGTTTGTTTTTTCCTTTTTTTTTTTTTGTAGAAATATGCACAGTAAAACATACACCAATTCAACAATTTCTACATATACAATTCAGTTACACTGGTTACCTTCATGTTGTGCAACCATTCTCGCTATCCATTTCCAAATTATTCCACTACCATTAAGATAGTCTCATTGCCCCTAAACTTCTCATCTAACCTTTTGAGTTGCTGTTGTCAATTTGATCCCATATAGATAATTCTTTAAAAGAGCACAATGCTCAAGGCAGACTTTTTTTTTTTTTACTAATTAAGCTAAACTACTATTTGGTTTGAGGTTTAGTTTGAGGTTTCAGTTTCAGGTTTAACGATTATCTCAGGCAGTAGTTTCAGGGGTCATCCCGCTGAAGCTCCAGAAAGTCTAAAGTCTATGAGAATTTGAAATTTTGTTCCACATTTTTTCCTCTTTTGATCAGGATTTTTTTAATAGAATCTTCGATCAAAACGTTCAGTAATGGTAGCGAGGCACAATCCAGTTCTTCTGGTCTCATGGCAAAAGAGACAGTTATTCATTGAGGCAATTAGCCACACATTCCATATACTCCTCCTATTCCTGCCTCTTCTTCTTCCTCTGTTGTTCCAGAAGAATAGAGACCATTTTTTGTACCTTGGATGGCAGCTCACAAGCTTTTAACACCCCAGGCACTATGCAGTGAATGAGGAGGTAGAACAGAAACACTAAAAACATTAGGCCAGTTGACTGGGATGTCCCATGAAACCATACCCTTAAATCTCCAAACCAAGAAAACAAATACCATGAGGTGTTTGGTTGTGCATAGGCTCCATAGGGTGTTCACTGACTGACTTTTCAGAAACAGATCACCAGACCTTGCTTCTAAGTCGCCCTCTGGGTGAACTCGAACCTCCAACATTTCAGTTAGCAGCCAAGCACGTTAACCATTTGCACCACCCAGGGACTCCATAATAGTTTATAGGAATTACCATATAGAAATGCTCTAAGGGTTAATAAACATGGTATCAGTTTATCCTTTAACTGTAATATGTAAAAAATACATATTAATTTAAACAGTGACCCTTGAAGAACCGACTACTAGGAGTGGGAGATCTGTCTCTGAGCCACAGAGGATATGCTCTTCTTTTCCCTTTATCCTCATAGGACCATGAGGCAGGCAGTAGAAGAAAGGGTCTCTGTGCTGAACATAGTCAGAGCTTGAAAAGAGAGGCAGACCCCAGTCATGTTTGCACCGTCCACTCTCAAACATCGGTAGCAATAGAGAGAAACAGCAGCACCTATTAATATAGTTAGTCAGACAATAAACACTGATTAAATGGCTTGGCAACAGCCAGTCCAAACAACATTTACGTTTAGCCGTAAGGATGGAGATGATAAAAGATGGAGAGTCAGCGCAGAGACAAGACGCCAGACCTCCTGGCGTTCAGTGGCCATCTGAACTTAGAGGTAGAGTTAATTAAGGCACTGGTAATTGCCTGGTATTACTGTCATTTATTCTGAGATATTTTATTTTGCATAAGCGTAAGGACTTTAGCTATTGGTTCTAGGAGAGAAGGAGCAACAAACAAACTCAGGTGCACTTTGATGAGAGCAGCATGATAGCTTGTTAGGCACAGAGAGGGAGCCCTAGAGTGTGTCTACAACCCTGACATGCAGGTATCAACTATCCAAACCCAAGGGAGTTTTTCCCAGCCCACTGAAGAGGCATTTTAAATATTCCAGCTCTAGTTTCTTTTTCCCCTGACCACTATCAGATCAATCAGGTCACTGCAGGAATATTTTCAGAAAGCTGATAATAGGGTCAAAGCAGCATATCTAATTTCTCAAAGTATACTCATACCCTCTTAGTAAAGGTTGACAGGTATTAAGTCATTTTCTTGAGATTTTGTAAGTTTCTAAATTGGCCTTGTTTCTTACAGAATGTAAAGAGACTGTGGTGTTCCTTTATCCTTTTGCACTGTAAATTCTCCTATTTTAAGCTATTTTCAAAAATATTTTGGAAACTATTAAACATATGCCTTAAACCTACAAATAGCGTTTATTTTGCTGGAGCAAATTAACTTCCAGAGAAGAAAGCCTAAGGAAGTTTAGAGGTGAGAAGAAGGAGAAGAAAAAAAAAAAAAAAAAAATATATATATATATATATATATATGAAACTAAAAACAGAAAATAGTCTGTCTTACCAGCATTTACCGTGTGGAAAGGAAGCTCATTTCTCTCTTTCTCTCTATATATATGTACATATGTATATCGTAGAAATTCAAGATTTGTGGGGGGGGTGTAATATATTTCACTATTATCAACAACACTTTGCAAAATATGTCTTTATTTGTGGACGTTGGTTATTATCCCATTTATACACATACATGTACTATATGTGTGAAGATATACACAAGTACATATACATAAATGTCAATATATTATATTTTACAATGGGTGGTTGTAGGGTATTGTTGAAGCAACTGGAGGAGGAAAGAGGTACCAAAATAATAATAGTCAACATTTATAGAGCACTTACTATATGCCAGGCTCTTTGTAGGGTCCTTAAATCGGTTGTATCATTTAAACCCCACAATGACCTTAAAGGGGTCGGCACTATGGTAACTTGATTTTAGAGATGAACAAAGTGAGGCCCAGAGAGTTAAGTAGCTAGACCAGACTCACACAGCCAGTATGTGGGATTAAACCCAGGAAGTCTGACCCTGGAGCCTGTTCCCCTAAACACACGGGGCTGTCTATGTGTGTGTGCCTGCCATATTGGCCACTGTGCCATCTGTGGTGATTTCTGGTGGCCAGCATTCCCCTAGACAATATTCTTATTAGTCAGAGAAGACAGTGAGCAATAAGGGAGGCCGAGGCTTTCAGGGGCTGTCCCCCTTCCACACCACTGACACTCTAGGCCTCTTTTCCAGGCCAATGGCCCCCACAACCTATAAGATCATCACATCACTCATATATTAGATTCCCCAGAATGGGATCTCAGACCTTTCTAGAAGAGAATCTACTTTCCACTTCCCTCAAGACTTACTAGTAGCAAGCATGAGCATCCTGTTGGGAGAAAACAGTCTGCTCTCCTCATACCAGGGTCTGTCCATCCTCTGCTTTCCTCAGACATTACGTTCACACTGGAATACCACCCATGTTCTCAGAGTGGACAGCCCAGCACCAGGAGGAATGTAGAATGGAGGAAATAACCCTAGGCTCAAGAGAGGAGATTGTAATTCTCCTCTCACCTCTGGTACTAAACCTTCCTGGGACTCAGCGTTCTCATCAGTGAAGTCAGGGCAGGAAGTGAGCACTGGCCGTTAGTCACAGTGTCTTAATGTACTCTATCACTACTCAATAGCCTTGTGAGGATGAAAATATCCACTCAAGCAGGTGAGGAAAACGAGGTTTAAGGAGGAGAGTCGCTGTTCAAGATAGTAATATGACTCCAAACCCATCTCTGTCTACCTCAGTAGATGATGCCTAAGCCTCCTTTCAGTTCTGAAATGGATGAATCTAAACTGAATTTTTTAATGAATATGGAATAATGCAAATAAAAGGCATCCCTTGAAGCTTGAAAAAGGTCGTTTTAGGATAAATACAAAGAAGTATTAATTTACATTTGGTACAAGTTTGGGAAATTTGTAATTTAAAATGTACCACATGCTAAAATTTTAAGAGAGGTTTAAGCACAGTTTAGAGAAAGTAAATGGTGATGATTCCCCTGAAGGAAGATAAAGACAAACTAAACTTCGAGAAACAATCGTGTTTTTCCACAAAGTATGCCCTGGAACCACCTTTAGTTGGAGGAGCCATTCTAGAGAACATTTTCCAGCTACAAGAAATTTTAAAAACTTATCTCGAGAGATAACAGCCAACTCACTAAATTTCACTCAGACTCAAATGGCTGAAGTGACACTGTTGTAAATCAGAGATACCAAATGGCTGCTTCACCCTCTATGTGAAGCAAGCTATGATGTATTTTAATATAACTCCTCGATAGTGACTCACTTATTTGCCTCTAAGTATTTTGTTTGGTCTTAGAAGTAAAATGAACTGGTGTACCATTGGGATGGATAGGGTTTAAATGAGAAGCTAGTTGATCTTATACAGTATATGGTCAAAATCATTTTTTAAAACTCATTTAAAAACATTTAAAAGTACTCCCAAAGTGAGTTAAATTGTTGGAAAAAACAACATTTCACTCCTTCCCAAATACTTTGAAGTGATTAAGATAATAAATCATAGAATGTTAGAGCTGGACAATATCTTGGCTAATTAGGATGTTTACAGACATTATATTTATAGACAAGTCAGGTGAGGCCCAGAGACATGAAGCAGGTACCTAATATTATGCAGTTTGTTATTAGCAGAACTTGAACTAGTCTCCAACTCTTCTGGGACCAGTCCAGGACTCTTTTCATCACTCCTTGTTATTGCCCCTCAGTAAACCTAACCAATTGATGCCTTTGGATTATGTGTTGGCGAAGAATATTGCATATGCCATGGACTGCCAGAAGAACGAACAAGTCTGACTTGGAAGAAGCACAGCTAGAATGCTCTTTAGAAGCATATGTACTTTGGACATGTTATCAGGAGGAGGACATCATGCTTGGTAAAGTAGAGGGTCAGCGAAAAAGAGGAAGACCCTCAACAACATGGATGGACACTGTGGCTGCAACAGTGAGCCAAGCATAACAACAATTGTGAGGATGGTGTTTTGTTCTGTTGTACATAGGGTTGCTATGAGTCTGAACTGACTTGATGGCACCTACCGACAGCAACAACAGCCGCAGGGGATAGAGGCAGATGTTAGAAGGGCCCTGAGAAGTTAAGTTCATCTTCCTCATTTATGTAGTTGAGGCAACTCAGAGAAGGTGAGAGACTTGTCCAAAATGACAGTCCCTGGATTAGAACCCAGGTCTTGTGTCCCTTGGTGTGACGCTCTCCCTAGAATGCTCTCCCTGCCTCCAGGTGTATGAAAGAAGCCAAGTACTACATCTCAATTTTCATTGGTTATTTTTCACTTGTTGGAAAATCAGTATCAGTACAATTTTTTACTAATATTGTTACTATTTCTGCTTTTATTTTTCGTAGCTGTCCCCATTAAATCAGAGTTGGCAGTTGAAATTTTGGAGAAGGGGCAGGTCCGGTTTTGGATGCAGGCTGAGAAGTTGTCTGGCAACGCCAAAGTCAGCTACATATTTAACGACAAAGAAATTTTTGAGGGGCCGGTAAGTTTTACACTTTTTAGATTTTTAAGCATATTGTTGTAGAATACCTAGGGGAAGCCCTGTTAGAATACAGGTAAGTTGTAAAAACCACTGGGCAGTGGAATGAGGGGAATTTAAATCATATCCTCAGGTAAAAAATGTGGAGGGAAAATATAGATTGACTACATCTTATTATCCAAACTAGGGCACTTCTGAGAGTGAAAGGGGGTGCTAATAAGAATGTTCACAAGTCAACAGTCATAAACCAAAATTACCTCAAGCACTCCAATAAGTATGGTCACCTATGAAAATAGAGCTGCTCACCTGAGAAGGCAAAGGAGCCAGTACCCTTACCTGAACTAGCATAACCCCAGCAAAGACTTGATGCTTTATACTGAGGAAATGGCCTCTATTGTTCCAATGGCTCAAAAAAAAAGCAATAAAAAGATCTTGTATTGCTTTTCTGGTTAAAAATACAGTATATACTCATGGTAAAAAAAAAATCACACATTCTTAAAACTTTTTGATATACACGTTGGTATATACTTTTTGGTCTTCTTTCTACATTTTTGTGTCTGTCTGTTTTTACATAAGTGAATATGTATATGTACATCTGTACACACACATACATTTATTTTTATTTTAGTAGCAGAACTTGGACTTTCTATCCCTATACTATCTTTGTTTGCGTTTAACATAAACAAGTTTTTATAGATAGTATTATGACATGGGAGCTGTATTGTCCTCCCGCAGACATCATCACAGCCAGTGGGGTATCGGCGCCCGGTGGTTCTGAAGGACTTCAGCTCAGTGGCTCTGGCACTCCCTCATGCAATCACAGGTGTAAATGGGAAATTGAGAGAAGGACAAGGAGGTGTAGCTTGTGGCCATTGTTAGCAACCCAATGAGATATATTTTTAAAACATTTGAGAATCCACTAGTGAGGTAGAAGATGATTTATGTAAATAGCAGAAGAGTATACAGTATATTCCTTTTGAACTCATATGCTAACTGTATCTAGAGCCAGAATAAGTCACTTACGTGTCCAGTGTGGCCTTTCTCCTTCCTATTTTCAAAAATGTTCTCATCTGCTGGTATGATCACCACCTGGCCAACGGAGAGGAATGAAAGGCATTGTCGGCAGCACTGTCTGCCACCACAGCCATTGAGCAGACACTCAGGCACATGTGTGTACACACACTCCTCTTCACGTGTCCATGTGTGCACACACATACAGACACACACACAACACACACTGTAGTGGAAGAGCTGTTGGTTGTCATGGCAGTTGCCTCTAACCATACTGTTTCATTAGTGGAAAATTACTGTCTTAGGTCAGGTTCCCCCAAAAGAGAGTCTGAAATAGAGATTCTCATTGGAGTGGTCTACTGGGGGAGTGCTGTTAGGAGAAGGGAGGAGGAAAGCAGGCTGAGGGGAGGGGCAGGGAAGCCAAGCAGAAATGTGGTCTCAGCCAGAGACTGGCTTCAGCAGGGGAAGCTCTGGAGCTTTAATGGCACCACAGACTTGGGCCCAGATCTGTGCCTATATTCTGTGATATCTTATGGCAAAACTTCATTAACTCAAACCTATTGTGAAATTTGTGCTTGTATGCATAGGAACTAGATCTGTCTTCACCCTCTGGAAAAAAAGTTGTTCAAGCAATGTGATAAAATAAGCAGTCTAATAGAGCAATTTTAATTCATTAAGAGCAAGTGGATTTCAAATGCTTTCAAAGTATCTTTTAGTCGTATATTAATTTAGCAAATATTTATTGATTGCCTGCTATATCCACCCATGTAGTAGACACTGGGGACATAGCAGTGAATTACGTGAAACTGTAGGCAGCACTTGCCTCGTGCCGTTGGTAGTTTTGCATTATTCTGCTAATTAAAAATAACGTAATCTGGAGAGCAAATGGGAATCTAAAAATAACTTGAAAACATTCTGTGACTTGCAATAACAAAACTTTATTTATATTTAATAAGTTAAATTTCAGACCTTGTAGTAATTAATTCTGGTCATCCTCTAACCAACTACTCTGAATTAATGGTCTTATATTCCACATTGTATTTTCCTTTTCCTTGGGAAAAAGATTTGGAAGACTCGCTCATCTTAAAAAAGAATGTTATCAAGAAATTTTAGTAAAGTTATAATTCTTTGTGGTTTATTTTTATTTCACCAGGCCCATTGTTATCAAAATGAAATACCTATTTCACTGATTTCTCTGTCTTTTCCTGTTTGCATTGAAGAAATATAAGATGCATATTGACCGAAACACTGGTATAATTGAAATGTTCATGGAGAAGCTACAGGACGAAGATGAAGGTACATATACTTTCCAGCTGCAGGATGGAAAAGCAACTGGCCATTCTACTCTTGTTCTCATTGACGATGGTAAGAGTCTTGTGGAATATTAACTGGAAGACTTTGCTCTCCTTTTCAGTGCCGATACTCCATGGCACGAAGTGGTCATGTGAAGGGAAGTAGGAACTGTTTCTTGATTGAATTCCAATATTTGAAACACAATTTTCAGTTTCTACTTTCCACAGAATCATAGAAATTAAAGTTAATTTAAAAGGACACCAAATTTATCCCTGGCCCATAGGCAAGACTGCATTTAAATGATCTCATATGTAAATAAGTATTTATTTCTAAAATCCTCCAGTGAAGAAGACTGTAATATAACTAAGACTGTATATGTGTCTCAGAAACAAACTGTGGTACTGTTTTTTAAGGCATTCTTACTTTAAAGTATTTAAATTGAGAAGGAAAAAAATGCAGAAACAGTGCATGCCGAATCTACTGATCATACATTATAGCTAGACTGTAGTATGTCAGCTGACCTAAGCCCTGGTGGAAACCACCAAGATTTAAAGTGTGGCATTTTCAGATCTCTGCAATTGCAACATCTGATTCTATTTCACAATTTCCTAGCTTTATGACCTTGGACAAGTTACTTAGCCTTTTTAAGTCTGTTTCTCCATCTATAAAGATTGAAAACCACTGGGGTTGTCACAATGGGAGAATGTTCTAATAATGAATATAAATCACTTAGCACAGTGTCTGGCATGTATGTTTATACTGCTCAACTCAATTTCATACTTCTTGTTTCCAATTTCTAGCTTATAAAAAACTCCAGAAAGAAGCTGAATTCCAGCGGCAAGAATGGATCAGGAAACAAGGTAAAAAATAGGCAGTGAGTAAAGAGAAAAACCAGTTTTTTGAACAAAATATTCTAAGATTATTTCCATAACAAATTAAAATGAGTATAATAATATATGTGAACATATAAAAACAATTGAAAATATTTATGTATTAAACATGTTTCCATTTAAAATACTTAAACACCGAATCTAGAATTTTTTAATTTTGATTTCAAATATAATATACCTTGTGATTTAAAAATGAACTTTGATTTTGCACTTGTGATTAATAAAGTGATTGCTGATGTCATTTCAAATTTTGTAGGTCCGCATTTTGCTGAGTATTTGAGCTGGGAAGTGACAAGTGACTGTAACGTACTATTGAAATGCAAGGTAAGTGGTAGATAAATTTTTAATATTTGACTCAAGTGAAATAAAGATAAAATAGAATGTGGAGAAAGGAAGATCAGTTTTTCATCTCCTCCATTTGCACCACTATGATAAGCAACACAGCCTTTCTGTTAAATGCTCCTGTAACCTCTGGTTGGTAAGAAACATTTAAAATAAAACATAAAAACATGGAAAGGCAAGATGATCACTCCCATTTGTTACCCATGCCGTAGTTAATAAGGACACAAAGTCTTTTATTAATTATTAATCTCAGAAAAATCTCACATTGTCTTTCGTTTCAAGCCAAATCTGCATTCTAAGTGGTATCTATGCCAGAATCATTCCAGCTACAATTTTTTTCTGTGGAGATTTAGCAACTTCCTATCTAACTGTGTGACAATCAGGACTTTTTAGAGTCCCCAGCTCTGCTACTGGTTCTGAAACCACTGTGCTGCCTTGATAGAGAGGTTCAGTGTAGAGTTTGCAGCTCACAACCAATGGTCTTATCAGGCCTTTGGAAATTTTTAGAAAATCTAAATAGCATTCTAAACCATTTTGTACCTTCTGACTCATAGCAACGCTTGAGGACAGAGTAGAACTGCCCCATAGGATTTCCAAGGCTGTAATGTATAGAAGCAGACTGCCACATCTTTCTCCCGTGGAGTGGCTAATGGGTTTGAACCGCCAACCTTTCGGTTAGCAGCCGAGGACTTAACCACTGCACCACCAAGGCTCCTTTTCCTTAGCATATGGTGTTATCATCAAAAATATGTTAGATAAGGAACTTTTGGATGAGGTTGGAGTGTGAAGGTTGTGATGGCTGATAGCAACTCAAAAGCAGAAGCCTGGCTTTTGTGTTGGGCATGCAGTTGTCATTATGAAAGCCGGAACCCAAGTGCTCCAGCTTCTACTTCTTACTGGCTGCTGTTGGGTCAGCCCCTGACTTACGGTGACCTCATGAACAGTGAAATGAAATGCTGCTAGGTCCTGCACCATCCCCGTGATCAGTTGTGGATCGGACCATTGTCATCTGTAGAGTTTTCACTGGCTGATTTTTGGAAGTAGATCATGGGACCTTTCTTCCTAGTCCATCATAGTCTGGAAACTCCACTAAAACTCCTTCAGCATCATAACAGCACTCAAACCTCCACTGACAGGTGGGCACTGGCATGAGGCATGTTGGCTGGGAATCAAACCTGAGTCTTTAACATGGAAGGCAAGAATTCTGCACTACCGGACCACCACAGCCCTCCCAGTCTCTACTAGATATTATAAGTTCAAAGAAACAGCAGTCTACCAGAAATAGAGAAGAAAAATCAATTCTAGGTTTTAACTCTCAGGAAACCATAGAAAACGGGAGTACATTCTTAACGCCCAATACAATATTAAAAACCTGCTCAGTCTTTCTCACAGCCTGGCAATGGCTCTTGAGAAAATCTTTCTTAGGCAGCAGCTAAAACCCTAACCCTCAGTAGCACCTGTGGTCTTAAAAGCCTGTGAGCAGCCACCTAAGATACTCTACTGGTCTCACCCTTCGGGAGCAAGGGAGAATGAAGAAAACAAGATACAAGGGAAAGATTAGTCCAAAGGACTAATGGACCACAACTACCACGGCCTCCACCAAACTGAGTTCAGTACAACTAGATGGTGCCC